CCATGCAAGCAAAATCATGCTCAAAATTCTGCAACATAGACTCCAAACCATACATGGAAAGAAAGATTCCACAGGTCCAAGTGGGGTTCAGGAAGGGAAGAGGCACTAGGGATCAAATTGCAAACATATGATGACTAATGGAGCACACAAAGGAATTAAAAAAAATCAGCACGTGCTTTATAGACTATAGAAAATCCTTTGACTACATAGATCATGAAAGGCTATGGAATGTCCTTAAAGACATGGGAATGCCAACACATCTGATAGTCCTGATGAGAAATCTGTACTCAGGACAAGAGGCTACTGTCAGAACAGAACACGGAGAAACAGAATGGTTCCCAATTCGCAAAGTGGTCACACAGGACTCTATCCTTTCACCCTATCTGTTCAACTTCTAAGCAGAACATATTATAAGAAAAGCAGACTTGGACACAGAAGGAGGAGTGAAAATAGGAGGAAGGAATATCAACAAGCTGAGATATGCAGATGACACCATAATACTAGCAGAAAACCTCACAAATCTGGAACACCTGCTAAGGAAGATCAATGAAGAAAGTGCAAAGAAGGCTTAATGCTGAACATAAAGAAAACATAAATAACAACCACCGAGGACCTTCATAAGTTCAACCTAAACAATGAAAAAATAGAAATAGTAAAAGAATTCCCATATCTGGGATCAAACACTGATAGAAACGGGGACTGCAGTTAGGAAATCAGAAGAAGACTAAGAATGGGGAGGATGGCTATGAAAGAACTAGAAAAGATTCTCCTTTTTTTTTTACTTGAGTTAATTAAAAGCATAACAAAAACATAAATACACTGAACTCTCATTCTAACAAACATACCTCTCTATTTTCCCTACTAACACACTAACATACAAAATAACAATAACGTAACAACCCTAAAGTTATAAACTTAATTTAGGGGGGTTGCAGACTGTCAAAAATAGTGTGAATTCAGTCCACTTTTAGGGTTAGGGTTAAGGTTAGGGAATCATGGGAACTGAATTTTATTGTGGCACTAGAGTTCTCTGACAAAGAAGGTTCAATGTCTCAGAAAAATAACAATTCCCATGATTCCCTAGCACTAACCCTAACCCTAAAAGTGGACTGAATTCACACTATTTTTGACAGTCTGCAACCCCATTTAGTCCCTCAACCAATCATACATCAATTTACATTCTTACATTCTTCTCTAAAAGATCACTTCCTCGAATCTAAACTCAGGTAATATGGCTATCTTGTTGTCTCTCTAGTATCCTTTATATATTAGAAATCATAATCTATACTTTTTTTATTTTTTATAATTGACCCTTTCTTGCTTTCCTAATATACAAATTATACCAGTCAGGATACCGTCACATCAATTGTCATACTGTTCTTAAAAAAAGTTTCTATAATTTACATTATTTTTAATAAAATTCTCAATCTTGAGAATGATCAATTGTCGTGAGGACTACTATCTTAAATTATTACATTATTGTACATGTCTCTTACATCTTACATTGGCTCCTATCTATTATTCAATTCCATTCATCATTATACCTATTAATAGAATGATTTTTAAGCATGTAGCTCAGTTTATCCATCTCTAAATGATCCAAAAGTCTTCCATACCACTCTATCATTTCTGGAACCTTCTGCTGTTTCCAGCTAAATGCATAAGTTATTCATGCAACCGTAATCATGTAAAAAATCTTTTCCCCAAATTTCTTTTCTAACTCCTCGTCTGTAATACCCAGTAATAATAATTCTGGATCTTTATCGATTTTTATTTGAAGCAGATCTTGTATTTCTTTATGTATGTTCCCCCAATAGCTTTTAGCTGAAGGGCAACGCCACCACATGTGGAAGAATGTCCCTTCATGTTTTTGACATTTCCAGCATTTATAATTGTGATCTTTT